TTTCACACAAGCACCACCCTTTGTGTGAAAATGTTGCACTTAGGTCCCTTTTAAATCTTTCCCGTCTCACCTTAAATCTATGTCTTCGAGTTTTAGACTCCCCTACCCTGGGGCAAAGGCTATTTACCCTCTCCATGCCCCTCATGATTTTATAAACCTCTATAACGTCATTCCTCTGACCCTCCAGGGAAAATAGTCCCAGCCTATTCAGCCTCTCCTTATATCACAAAGGCACCAACCCTGGCAACATCCTTGTGACCTGTTATGAACAGTTTCAAGTTTTGTAAGATTGTTCCTATAGCAGGGAGACCAGAATTGCACGCAGTATTCCAAAAGTGGCCTAACTGATGTCCTGTACTGCCACAACATGACCCCTCAACTGCTATACTCAAATGCACTGACCAAAAAAGGCAAGCATACCAAACGTTGCTTCCACTGTCCTGTCTACCTGGGAATCCACTTTCAGGGAACTATGAGCCTGTACTCTAAAGTCTGTTTGTTCAGCAACGCTCCCAGGTCTTTACCATTAAGTATATAAGTCCTGCTCTAATTTGCCTTTCCAAAACGCAGCACCTTCCATTTATCTAAATTAAATCCCATCTCCACTTCTTGGCCCATTGGCCTATCTGATCACGGTCCCATTGTCCTCTGAGTTAACCTTCTTTGCTGTCCATTACACCACCAATTTTGGCGTCATCAGCCAACTTACTAACCATACCTCTTATGTTCACATCCACATCATTTATATAAATGACCAAAAGCAGTGGACCCAGAACCAATCCTTGTGGCACACCGCTGGTCACAGGCCTCCAGTCTGAAAGACAACCCTCCTCTACCACCCTTTACCTTCTACCTTTGAGCCAGTTCTGTATCCAAATGGCTAGTTCTCCCTGTATTCCATGTGATCTAAGCTTGTTGACTAGTCTACCATGTGGAACCTTGTCAAATGCCTTGCTCAAGTCCATATAGATCATGTCCTCCGCTCTGACTTCTTCAATCCTCTTTGTTACTTCTTCAAAAAACCCAATCAAGTTAGTGAAACGTGATTTCCCACGCACAAGCCATGTAGACTATTCCTAATCGGTCCTTGCCTTTCCAAATGCATGTAAATCCTGTCCCCCAGGACCTCCTGCAACAACTTGCCCACCACTGATGTTAGGCTCACAGGTCTATAGTTCCCTGGCTTTTCCGTATCACCTTCCTTAAATAGCTAGACATCAGGCACCTTCCCCATAGTTATAGGTGATGCAGATATTTCTGCGAAGGACCCCTCTGTAATTTCCTTCCTTACTTCCCACAGCGTTCTGGAAGACATTAGATCAGTTCCTTGAGATTTATCCAGCTTTATATTCTCTGAGACCTCCAGAATGTCGTATTCTATAATGTGGACTGTTTTTAAAACATAAATATTTATTTCCCCGAGTTCTCCAGCCTCCATTTCTTTCTCCACAGTAAAACTGACTCGAGATATTCATTCAATATCTCTCTCATCTCCTGGTGTTCACACAAAGGCGACCTCTTTGATCTTTAATTTGCCCTAACCCCTCTCTCATTACCCACTTACTCTTAATGTACTTGTAGAATCTCTTTGGATTATCCGTCAAGGTCATCTGCCACTGCTGTCTCATATCCCCTCTTTGCTTTCCTGATTTCCTCCTTAAGAATGCTCCTACACTCTTTATATTGATTAAGATTCATTTGAACCCAGTTGTCTGTCTTCTTTTAAAATTTATTAATTTGTGGGATGTGGGCATTGCTTGCTCGCCAGCATTATTGTTTGTCCCTAGTTGCCCTTGAGAAGGTGGTAGTGAGCTGCCGCCTTGAACCACTATAGTCCATGTGCTGTAGGTTGACCCACAATATCATTAAGGAGGGAATTCCAAGATTTTGACCCAGGGACAATGAAGGAACCGAGATACATTTCCAAGTCAGGACGGTGGGTGACTTACAGGAGATCTTGAAGGTGGTTGTGTTCCCATGTATCTGCTGTCCTTGTCCTTCCACATGGATGTAGCCATATGTTTGGAAGATGCTATCAGTGGTGGAAGGAGTGGATGCTTCTGGAAGTTGTGCCAGTCAAGTGAGCTGCTTTGTCCTGAATGGTGACAAGCTTCTTGAGTGTTATTGGGGCAGCACCCATCCTGGCAAGTGGGAAGCAGAGATTTTAAATTTTAAGATTTTGAAACATGTAATAAAATACACTATTTCATCTACACAACAGCACCCTTAGCTGTGCTTAAATACCAGACAATTACCTTCTCTATCTATAGAGTTTGGTTTAACTGGCTTTAATTCCCCAGTATTGAGACTCAATAAAAATTTGAAATAAAAAGTTAACCAAGCGGTGATGACTATGTAACCACCGTCAATTATTGTAAAAAGCCAGAGATAGTAGGAACTGCAGATGCTGGAAAATCTGAGATAACAAGGTGTAGAGCTGGATGAACACAGCAGGCCAACCATGAAGGGTCTAGGCCCGAAACGTCAGCCTTCCTGCTCCTATGATGCTGCTTGGCCTGCTGTGTTCATCCAGCTCTACACCTTGTTATCTCTATTGTAAAAAGCCTAACTGGTTCACTAATGTCCTTTAAGGAAGGTAGTCTGCTGCATTCATCTGATCTGGCTTATACATGACCCTGGATCCACACCCTGCCCTGCAGATACGAATGGGTGTTCATTACTAGGGTGTTCATTACTAAATCAATGATGAGTGTGTTGGCGTCACCCATTTTATTTAATCATGCACAGGATGTAAGCATTGCTGACTAGACCAGCATTTATTCCACATCTCTAGTTACCTCTGAGAAAGTTGTGGTGAGCAGCTGCCTGGAACCACTGCAGTCCTTTTGCTGTAAGTAGACTCTCAATTCCATTAAGGAAGAAACTGCAGGATTTTAACCCGTTGACACTGAAGGAATGTTGATATATTTTCAAGTCAGAACGGAGAATGGCTTGGAGGGGAATTTGTAAGTGGTGATGGTACCATATATCTGTTGACCTTGTCCTTCTAGATGGTTACAGTCATGGGTTTGGAAGGTACTAAGGAGCACTTGGTGAACTTCTGCAGTGCATCTTGTAGATGGTGTAACTGGGGACTGATTCTCTTTATTTACTTTAACGGAACCCCTCCTGGTTTTTAAAATTTATAACAGATCTCCTCCTAACCACCTTCTCTCCATGGAGGACATTCCTACCTGTTTAAACCTATCTTCATAACTAAAGTATCTCCCTTGAATAATTCTTGTAAACCACTTCAATACTGTCTCCAATATGTTTGCATCCTTCCTACAGTACAGCTAATAAAATTTTATCATTTATTGTCAGGAGAGTGGAATGCAAGAGTAGGAGTCATGTGTACAGTTATGGTCAGCTTAAGTAAATGTGTTGGGTGGGAAGCAGTTCAGAGAAGGTTTACCAGAATAATAAAAACCAAAAGAACTGCAGATGTCGTAAATCAGGAACAAAAACAGAAGTTGCTGGAAAAGCTCAGCAGGTCTGGCAGTATCTGTCAACGAAAAAATCAGTTAATGTTTCGGGTCCGTTCTGAGGAAGGGTCACCGGACCCAAAACGTTAACTGCGATTTTTTTCTTCGCAGATGCTGCCAGACCTGCTGAGCTTTTCCAGCAACTTCTTTTTTTTTGACCAGAATAATTCCTGTAGAGTGAGGATTTTATTTTGATGAAAGGTTAGATAGACTAGGCTTGTATCTGCTGAAGTTTAGAAGAGTAAGAGGTGACTTGTTTGAGATGCACGTGTTCTCGAGGGGTCTGACAGGGTAGGTATGAAGAGGATGTTTCCTCTTACGAGAGGATCTAGAACTAAGGGTTGCTTATTTAAAACAGATAGTGTTCTTTCTCTTGAGAGTTGAGGCTTTGAAGTTTTCTTCCTAAAAAGGTGATGGAAGCAAAATCCTTGAATACTTTTAAGACAAAGGTAGTTAGATTTCTGTTAAGCAAATAGGTCGAAGTTCATCAGGGAATGTGGGAAAGTGGATTTGATAATGCAGTCAGGTGAGCCATTATTTTATGGAATGATGGAGCAGATTCTAGAGGCCAGATTGTCTACTGCGGTTCTTGTTGGTATGTTTGTAAGATTACAATATGAAAGTAAAGTAGCCGCCTTCCAATTGGAAGAGGCTGTAGTGAGACCAGACCTGGAATACTGTGTACAGAGTTGGCCTCTGTATTTCAGGAAAGATACAAAGTACTTGCCTTGGAGGTATACAACAAATATTCATGTGATTTAGTTCCTGGTGTAAGAGGGTTGTTCTGTGGTGAGTGGCTGACTAAATTGGACCTACTTTCTAGAGTTGAGGTGATCTCATTAAAATGTACAAGATTCTGAAGGGCTTGACAGAGTAAACAGCAAGAGGTGGTTTTCCCTGTCTAGGGAATCTTAAACATGGGAACACGTGTTCAGGATAGGTGGTTGAATCTTTTGAATTGAAGTGAGTGATTTCTTTCCTCAAAAAATTGGAATTCTCTAGCGCAAAGGGTTTCTGCATGATTGTATATATCCAGGGATGTTAGGAAGGAAGCTCCTTGATGCTGACCCAGTGATGTTGAAGGAATAGCGAAATAGGTTGAGTGGTTAGAAGTAAATATATCTGTCTCCATGTGTCTGCTGCCCTTGTCCTTCTAGGTTGCAGAGGTTGTAGATTTGGTAGGTGTAGTCTAAGGATCTTGATGGGTTGCTGCAATACATCTGGTAGATAGTACACAATGCTACCATTTTGCATCTGTGGTCAATGTCGAAGATGTTAGTTGGGGTGCCAGTTAAATAAGTTACTCCCTGATGATTTCATGTTCCTTGAGTGTTATTGGAGCTGCATTAATATAAGAAAGAGGAGAATATTCCTTCACACTCCTGATTTGTGACTTGTAGATGGTGGACAGTCTTTGAGAAGTGAATTGCATGTTTCAGAATTCCTAGTCTTTAACCTGCTGTTGTAGTCACATAAAACAAAGATTTTGTTGTCAGAAAGTCTTTTGTTTTGCAGGAATTTGCAGTTCCAGATTATCGCCTTCAGGATTCACAGCTCTTACAGCAGCAGCATCAGCAGCTGCGTAGACGCCCGTCGCTGCTTTCGGAGTTCCATCCAGCCTCTGACAGGTGAGTGATAGCGAGTGTCTATTGCCAGGCTAGCGTCCTGTCTGTTCACAGCGATTGATCAGGAGAGTGAGGGAGAAGACTTGTTTTACTCTGTTTCTGTGCTGAGGACTCACTTGAAGATTTTGATTTGCTCTGACAACTCAAAGCAGTTTACAGATGGAGAAAGACTACATGTAACCATGAGGCAGAGGAGAGTGAGAAAATCCCTGAAAAGTTTATTTTGGCAGTTTTTCCAGGGATTAAAGTTAATAGTGACTCTGACTAAATTTTAGTATAATTTGGAGGAAAATGTGGCTAATTAGTCTAATTAGTAAGTTTGCAGACAATACAAAGATTGGAATTGTAGATAATGAGGAGGATTGTCAGAGGATACAGCAGGGTACAGATCAGTTGGAGGAATGGGCAGAAAAATAACAGATGGAGTTTAATCTGGACACGTGAGTTGGTGCATTTTGGAAGGTAAAGTACAGGTGGAAATTATACAGTAAATGGCAGAATCCTCAGGAGTATTGATATGCAGAAGGATCTGGGTGTGCAGGTGCACAGATCACTGAAGGTGACACTGCAGGTAGATAAGGTAATGAAAAAAGGCCAATGGCATGCTCGCTGCCTTTGGAAAGGGCATTGAGTATAAGGATAGGCAGGTTATGCTGCAGATTTATAGAATTTTCGTTAGGCCACACTTGGGATATTCCTTCACTGTTAGTCACCACACTGCCAGAAGGGTGTGGATGCTTGGGAGACGGTACAGGAAAGGTTTACCAGAATGTTGCCTGGTATGAGGGATTTTAGCTATGAAGAAAGATTGGATAGGATGGGTTTGTTTTCATTGGAACGCAGGACATTTGAGGGGTGACATGAAAGAAGTTAAGATTATGAATGGCATGGATAGAGTGGAAAGTATGAGGCTTTTTCCCCAGGCTGGAGGGGTCAATTCCTAGGGTAAACAAGGTGGAGGTGCGGAGTTTAAAAAAAGTGAACAAGGAGAGTTTTTCACTCCAAGGTTGGTGAGTGCCTGAAACGAGCTGCCAGGGGAGTTGGTGGAAGCAAACAAAATAGCAGCATTCAAGAAGGACCTGAACGAATACATGAACAGGAAGGGAATAGAGGGATACAGATCCTGTAAGTGAAGACCGTTTTAGTATGAAAGGGCAACATGTGTCAGCACAGGCTTGGAGGGCCGAAAGGCCTGTTCCTGTGCCGTATTGTTCCTTGTTCTATAATTATCTCAAGTGTGACTGATAAAAGAACCCAAAGATTATGTTCCAGAAATAATACATGCCCATTGTTGTCTGCTTTTGTGCACTGTACTTGCATGTTTCTAACCTGGCTAACTACACTGATGCATGTATGTTGACATATCACTGCAAAATTTTAAAGACTCGTACTACTGTCTTCGACAGTAACCTGATTGTTACAAATTCTATTTTCCTATAACGTACCAATGTACAAAATAACAGACAAGAAAAGATCAACTGATCACCACACCTTCCCCACACTGAGATGGTTGGTCCATTATGGATAAACTCTGCTTCTGTCCCTCAGTCCAGCCCAATACCTTGCACTCATACAATCTCCTGAGAGAAGAAGAAAATTTATAAAACCCCTTTCTAGTTTACTTTTGATTGAAACCAACCCGGATATAACCTGGATTAAATCTTACTTGGTAAAGATACTTTGCTTCTATGAAATACCATCTCTGCCCTGAGACAAACCAATTCTGCTCCAGTTAGCAATTCCAACATCAGTTTGCAGCACATTCCAGAAGATCTCAATCGTACAACCAGTTTACTCCCACACGGGGCAGCACGGTGACTCAGTGGTTAGCACTGCTGCCTCACAGTGCCAGGTTCGATTCCACTCTCGGGCGACTGTCTGTGTGGAGTTTGCACATTCTGCCATGTCTGCGTGGGTTTCCTCTGGGTGCTCCAGTTTCCTCTCACAGTCCAAAGATGCGCAGGCCGGGTGGATTGGCCGTGCTAAATTGCCTGTAGTGTTCAGGGATATGTAGATTAGCGGGGGAATGGGTCTGGGTGGGATGCTCAAAGGGACGGTGTGGACTTGTTAGGCCGAGCAGCCTGTTGCCACACTGTGGGGATTCTATGATCTAAGTTGTTTAGACCTTGGACCGCAGCATTCACAGTGTATTAAAATGAAATAACATGAAATAGGGAGGTTATGGGCAATCAGGTTACAGGAGTAGGGGAGGGGTGTGGGTCTGAGCAGATGCTCTTCAGAGGGTCAGTGTGGACGCGATGGGTTGAATGGCCTGCTTCCACGCTGTATAGGTTCTGTGATTCTATGAGTTAACAATAGCTATGCCCAAGAAAGCCACAGAACTGGATGGTTTCATAGTCAAGGTTGGGCACGTGGAATCTAGGAATTTTATTTTTTTTTCTCCTACTGTTTTGGCACCCGCTGAGCAAGATCTACCTGTAAACAATCTTTTAATCAAGAAAATGGAAATAAGGGAAATCTCCAGTGTGTTTCTTCCATTGCGTCCTATCTGATCTGTCGAATGGCAGACTTTGAGCTGCTGTTTTGAGAATGGTTCTTGATGAACAGATTCAAGATGAGCTAGAGTCCCTGTGCGACAAACCTGCATTGTTTGAAATCGGTGAAAACCCCTTGTGTTCCTGCAGTGGGACATTTAACAGTATTGTCACTTATCAAGATGTATCCATCTCAACAGACTGTGGTGGACTAATCACTTAACTTAGCAAATAAGGTATTTGTTTGGCTTCCAGAATTTGTGTTCACTAAAAAGTTTTTGTCTGGACCTCCACCTTTGCTCCAAAGTAAATAAGGCCATAATAGTTAGGAGTTGAAGTAGACGATTCAACCCAGAGTCGACACCACCATTCAATGAAATCCGAGCTGATCTGATAATCTTCAGAGATAGTAGGAACTGCAGATGCTGGAGAATCCGAGACAACAAGGTGCAGAGCTGGATGAACGCAGCAGGCCAAGCAGCCTGCTCTTATGATGCTGCTTGGCCTGATAATCTTCACTCCATTTTCCTGTCAGATTCCTTTAAGCCTTGATTCCCTTGATGATTAAAAACATATCTATCTCAGCCTTGAATATACCTAATGTTCCAGCCTTGACTGCCTTCTGTGATAAAGAACACCACAAATTTACCATCCTCAGAAAAAGAATCGTTTTCACTTCTGTCCTAAATAGGTGAGCCCTTACTCTGAAATTATGCTGTCTAATCATAGACATACTCACAAGTGGAAGCAGTATCTCATTATCTACTCTGTAAAGCTTCCTAAAAAATTTGTTTCTCAATAAGGTCTCCTGTCATTCCCTGAACTCCAAAGGGTTCAAGCCCACCTACTCAATCTCTCCCTACCTGGGAACACCCTTGTGAACCTTCTCTGGACTGCTTCCAGATAATCTTAGATGATAGGCTCAGAATTGTTCACCGTATTCCATTGTGGTCTGACTAGTGCCTTGTATAGTTTTAGGAAGACCTTTCTATTTTTATACTGTATTCCTTTTGAAATAAAGGCTAGCCTTCCATTTGCATTCCCTATTACCTTATGAAACTTGATTGCTAGCTTTCTTGTGATTCATACACTAGAACTCTAAAACTCTCTGTGCTGCAGCTTTCTGCAGTCTTTCCCCATTTAAATAATATTTAGTTCTTGTATACTTCCTGCCAAAGTGCATAACGTCAGATTTTCCCACATTACATTCCATCAGCCAAGTTTTCACCACTTGTTTAACATATCTGTAGTCCTCTGTAGGCTCCTGCATCATCCTCACCACTTAAGACCATTAGAAATAGGGGCCGTTTGGCCCCCAGAGCCTACTTCTTCATTCAATAGGATCATGGCTGATCTGCCACTCTCTGACATTCCTCGTGCCCACTTTCCTAGTAACTGTTGATTTTCCAAACTGATCAAGAATCTGTCATCCAAGCCATTAACATATATTGTAAATAATTGTGTCCTTAGCACTGATCCCTGTACCATTCCACTAGTTACAGGTTGCTGCCCTGAAAATACCCCGCTTTATCCCAACTCTTTCTCATCTATTAGCTAGCCAATCCTCTATCCATGGTCATTTATAACTCCAATTGCCATGGGTTCATAAGGAGCCTATGTGCTGTACTTTATCAAAATGCCGTTTGAAAATCCAAGCATCTTGTGTCTGTTGACTTCTTTTTATCTACCTTGCTTGTTACCATAATTTTTGAATTTCCATTCGTTGAATTTCTTCAGCATACACAGAAAATACTGGAGAAACTTAGTGGGCCTAATGTTGTCTGTGGACAGAGAAACAGTCAGCAGAGTCATTTTGGACTTGTGTTGTTTCTCTTTCTTTCTGCTGAGGTGCTGCCAGACCTGCTGAGTTTCTCCAACATTGTCTGTGTTTATTTCAGATTTCCAGCGTCTGATGTATTTTATTTTTATTTGAGGTTGTTTAGGTTGAGAAGCACATTTGCACCTCTTCCTTGATTTTTTCCAAAGTTATATCTATGGATGGAAACCAGTAGGTTATGTAGATAGTAGTTTATTAAACTGGTGAGTGATTGGCAGTGGTGATCCCCGTGAATCAATGGTAAGACTTTATCCTGTATCTAAATTATTTAGACCTTGCAATACGGAATAAAGTTTCAAAATTTGCTGATTACTCCAAAGTGGCAAACGGTGAGGATGTACAAACAGATTGCTAAATGTCATTGACTAGCAGAGTACACAAGTGGCGGATGGGCTTTAATGTAGAGAAGAACGATACAATGGATTTTGGTAGCAGGGGCAGGGAGAGGCAGTATAGACTTAATAGCAGTTTCAAAGAGTGTACAGGAACAGAGAGACCGGAAATGTGTGTACAATAACCTTTGAAGGTGGTGAGATGTACTGGGAGAGTGGTTAGTAAAGCATATAGGATCTTAGGTTTCATAAATAGAGGCATTGAGATGGAAGGTATGCTGAATCTTTGTAAAGCTCTAGTTAGATTCCAACGAGACTGTTGTTCCCAATTCTGGTCATCGCACTCTAGGAAAGATGTGAAAATCCTAAAGAGGCTGCAGAGGAGTTATCAGACTGGATGCAGAGTGGAAGGATTTCAGTTACTTAGAGATGGAAAAGACAACTTAATTGGGAAAACAAATTGTTTTTCAGGCCTCAAGAAAGGAGGAGTGGCTATGAGCAGTCGTACCATAGCGTGGCTGGACAGCCTGATCACGAATCATTGGAATCCAAACGCCCACGGCTTGAACAGGTACCTGATCCCCACTTTCAGCGTGCTACAGTACTGCCCTTAGCTCACCCAGTACCAGAGGGGCTTCGAGCACCCACAGAGGTGAAAAAGGTAAGTGTTGGTTGTTAGAGTAGGCAGCACTTTAGATGGTGTATTCATTCAAAAACCAACAATCAGAACATTATATTTAACAAACTAAACTTTTCCAGCTTATTTCTGATACCTAAGCAGCTCTGACTAGGAGAAATTAGAAGAACTGAGTTCTGCTCAAATCTTTAAACCCACTTTTTGTTGACCTATTGATTACTGTTAACGTTTGCAGTTTATATCTTAATCATTTATTATTTGAAAATTTTACTGAAAACAACTGAGAGATTGCACCTTTCGTTTTGAGTGGTTACATAGAACAGTACAGTACAGCACAGTACAGGCCCTTCATCCCACGATATTATGCCGACCTATTATCCTATTATCCTCCTCTAGGATCAAGCTACCCTGCATACCCTACATTCTACTATCATCCAAGTGCCTATCCAAGAGTCACTTAAATGTCCGTAATGTATCTGTCTCCACTGCCACTGCTGGCAGCGTATTCCATGCACCCACCACTCTGTGTAAAGAACCTACCTCTGACATCTCCCCAATACCTTCTTCCAATCACCTTAAAATTATGCCCCCTCATAATAGTCATTTGTGCCCTGGGAAAAAGTCTCTGGCTATCCACACTATCTATGCCTCTCATCATCTTGTAAACCTCTATCTAGTCACCTCTCATCCTTCTTCACTCCAATAAAAAAAAGACCTAGCTTCCTGTCTATCCACTCGATCTATGCCTTTCACGTACAAGTGACCTAACTTAATAAAACATAACGTTTGGTGCCAAGATATTAAATCTTAAAATCAACAATTCATTTAAAGAGCTTGTCATTGAATTATGTAGTGTAATTCAGGTGATTAAGATGACTAAAAAATTTGACAGGGTAGAGACAAACTGTTTCTTCTTTGGGTGGAATTCAGAATTAGGGAGCATAGCCTTAACATTAGGACAGGGATGTTTAGGGGGCAATCTTAGGAAATACTTCTTTACACAAATGGTCATGGATCTCTGGACCACTCTTCCTGAGGGTTGGGGGTTGGTCGTTGAAAGTATCAGAACTCGGACTTCTAGACTTTTGTCAGGCAAAAGGTAACGAGAGTTGTAAATGCCCATGTTCCAGGAAGGAGTAAGTAAAAGCAACTTATGAAGCACTTCTTTCAAAGCTAGTCTATCTTTTCAAAGGTGTTCTGTGCAGAATTGCTCTTGCTACTCCCACAGGTATGATGTAACCGTGGTTTTGTATACTTGAAGCATGACTTCTGTCCCTTGTATTTAAGCATTTCAGAAACTGAGGCCAGCATTTCATTAGACTTTCTGTATCTGCTTGTGAGATCTTAATAATATGTACCCAGTCTGCACTGTTCCTGGCTTTGTACCATTTAGTGAGTATCCTGATCTATCTGTTTCAGTCGTAATGTCGTGGATCTCACAATCACCAAACTGAAATCCATTTGGTCATAACATTTGGGGCTCTTGGCAGGATGATTGAAATAGGAGAGCTTAGTGTCCTTCTTATTAAAGTAATGACTAAATGTACTTCTGGGCAAATATCAGCTGTTTTGTGGAAAGGTTTACTGTACGGAATTTGAAGATGCCTTTTGAGTGTTCTCATTTGAGAAGTGGAAGATGTAACAGTGGATTATTTAAGGTCATTGACTAAAGCTAAATTGAAAGTGCAAACACTTAAAGAGCACATGGAGGAATTGCAACAATTCTTCATTCCTGTGTGGTACAAAATTAGAACTGGAAAGGTGACCCAACTATTGCTAACAAGGGAACTTAGGGATAGGATTAGATCCAAGAGGGTGCAAACATGTTGGCCAAAGAAAGCAGCAGACCTGAGGATTTGGAGCAGTTTAGATTTCAACAAAGGAGGGCAAAGGAGTTGATTAAGATGGGGAAAATAAGAGTATGAGAGTAAACTTTCCGGGAACATACAAACTGATTGTAAAAGCTTTTCTAGAGATGTGAAGAGAAGATTAGTGAACACAAATGTAGGTCCCTTACAGTCAGAAACAGACGAGGTTACAATGGGGAGCAAAGATGCGGCAGACCAATTACGTACATGTTTGGTTCTGTCTTTACAGAGGAGGGCACACATAACATGGCACGGTGGCTCAGTGGTTAGCACTGCTGCCTCACAGCACCAGCAACCCGGGTTTGCTTCCCCCCTCGGGCAACTGTCTGTGTGGAGTTTGCACATTTTCCCCGTGTCTGCGTGGGTTTCCTCCGGGTGCTCTGGTTTCCTCCCACAGTCCAAATATGTGCTGGGTAGGTGGATTGGCTATGCTAACTTGCCCACAGTGCCGAGGGATGTTTAGGTTAGGTGGGTTAGACATGGGCAATGTAGGGATAGGGGAACGGTCTGGGTGGGATGCTCTTCAGAGGGGCGGTGTGGACTTGTTGGACCAAATGGCCTGTTTCCACATTGTAGGGGCTCTAGGGTTCATAACATCCCAAAAATGTTAGGGAACACAGGTTCTAGTGAGAAGGAACAAAATCAGTATTAGTGGGGAGAAAGATGGGATTTAGGGGCTGATAAATCCCCAGGGCCCAATAATCTTCATCCTAGAGACTTAGGAAATGGTCCTAGGAATAATGGATGCATTGGTGGTCATCTTTCATGAATCTATAGATTTTTGAGCAGTTCCTATGGATTGGAGAGTAGCTAATGTAATCCAAATATATAAAAAAGAAGGTAGAGAGAAACAGAGAATTATAGACTAGTTACCTGACAGCAGGAGGGAAGAAGATGCTAGAGTGCCTTATAAAAGATTTAATAGCAGATCAGTTGGAATACGTGACAAGATCAGACAGAATCAGCATGGATTTATAAAAGGGAAATCATGCTTGACGAATCTAGTGGAATTTTTCGGGGATATAACTGGTAGAGTTGATGAGGGGAGCTAGTGGATGTGGTTTACCTGGAATTTCTAAAGGCTTTTGATAAGGTCCCACAAAAGAGATTTGATTGTAAAATTAAAGCGCATGGAGAGTGAGGTATTGCACTGATGTGGATAGAGAACTGGTTGGCAGGCAGGAAATAATGCAGAAAGAAATGGGTTCTGAAGAAGGATCACTGGACCCAAATATTAACTCTGATTTCTCTTCACAGATGCTGTCAGACCTGCTGAGATTTTCCAGCAATTTTTCTTTTTGATTTGTAGCATCCATAGGTCTTTGGTTTTTATTCAATACGGTCATGGCTGATTTGAACAGTCAGACACCTTTTACTCACAATATCCTCATAACCCTTTACTCCATTGATAATCTAACTTTTTTTCAACCTCCACCTTAAACTGAAAGATTGAGCTTCCACAACCCTCTGAATTAAAAAAAAAATTGTCCATCATCTTCGTCTTAAACGTCAACCTCTTTATTTTTAACTTGAGCCTTGATTCTAGATTTCCAACAAGGGGAAATGTTTTGTCTATCAGGGCATTTTTTGAAAATTTAGCTAAAAAGGCTAAAGGTAAAGAGAACGATGCTAATATGTTTAGTCCATCTTCTTTAATAAAAATGCAGCAAGAAGAAGTGATGGCCTAGTGGTATTAGACCATTAATCCAGAGACCCGATCATAGAAACCGTTGCTGTATGTTGGAAAAACCCATCTGGTTCACCAGTCTACGTTAGGGGAGGAACTCTGCCATTCTTAGCTGTTCTGGCTTAGATATAACTCCAGACCCATAGCAATGTAGTTAACTCTCAATTAGGCATGGGCAATAAATGCTGGCCTGCTCTGTAATGCCCATGTCCCATGAATGAAGATATATATAAAAAAATTGAGTTGAAAGAGTTGTACATACCTACTCGGGCATTGGATCAGAAACAATACCTTAGTGTTATTAATTGGTAGACAAAAGTACTAATGAGGAAATGGAGGCCACCTCAAATAACTGCATTTGAGGAATCGGCAGTGGGTAATTGTTCTTCCTGAGTATGGTAATGAAACTTTACAAATGGCTCACAAAATTCCAATGTGAGGTCATTTAGGTATTAGGAAAACACAAGCTAAAATATTGGAACATTTTATTTCTCACAACCACATAAAAATGGAATCATGCTTTGCCAGACATGCTATACGTGTCAGGCAATGAGGAAACCCCAACTTTTAATTAGTCTGCATCTTTAAGTATAATACCAATAAGTTTTGAAGAACCATTTAGCCAGATCTTTAAAAAGGTTGTATTGGACCTCTATAAATCAGGAGTTGGAACCAAAATTTACTAATAAATTATAGATATTTCTATAAGATTTACTGAAGATTTATTGCCAAGAATGTCCGAATGATTGGGACAAGAGAATTCCTTTGCTACCATTTGCCAATAGATATCTTCTACAAGAGCTCCCAGGATTTATAGAATCATAGAATCTTACAGTACATAAAAGGCCCTTTGACCCATTGCATTTTCACCAACAAAAACTAGTCAGTTCTTTTGAACTATTATATGGCCATGAGATGAGAGTACCACTCTAAGTGATTAAAGAAAAGTCAGTAACTCAAAGTTCAGAATCAACATTTCCAATCTGTGCCTTGAATTTCTGAGAGAAACTAATTCGTATGAGTTGGCCAGAAACAACTACAGCACACTAAAACTCTTTTGGCTGTTTATGACGTTAATGTGAGGGATGTATTAGTTATAAAGCAATGCCCGTTGCAAAGCTTGGGTAAGAAATGGGATCAAGTTCATAATGGACAATTACTTTATTCGATGGAGTCAAAGTAACAGGTACTCGCTGACGTTGCCAAAACCAGGTAGTTCACAAAGATCCTGTACTGATTATCATCAAGTGAACTTAGTAACAAAAGCCGACTCATACCCTACACAAGCCTGGAGTATTGTATTGAACAAATTGAACTTGCTGGTTTGGCATAAAATTTGACTTGCTAAGAAGGTTTTGGCAAGCTCCTTTAATTCCAAGCACAAAAGAAATATCGGCTTTTGTAACTTCAGATGGACTTTTTCAGTACAAAGTTATGCCATTGGGAAGGAAAATGCTCCAGCAAAGTTT